AAGTAAAATTAAATGTCTTTTGAAATACCATAAACAAAAGTCTAATCAGTCAAACATTATGAAAACAAAAAACAAATTTTTTAGAAAGTCTCTTAGAAATTATTCTTTTATTTGGTTAAATTAGATATTAGTGAATAATAATGCAGATTTGTTTGAATAAATATTCAATCTTTACAAAATAATACTTATATTAACATAAGCCTTCAATTGTTGCAGCATTTAAGTATTGCCATTCTAGACCATAGCGGGTTGTAGCCTTGCTCAAGAACTTATATTACTTTTATAAGTTCTTTATGATAGTTCTTTCTTAGAAGAACTTTTATAATATAAGTTTATAATACTTATAATAAAATTACAAGAGAAAGCTGTTATTGGTGTAAAAGCACTAACTTTTCAATGTTTCATATCTTAAACAAATGTAATACACTGAATTCCATACAGATCTCATCATGTCTCCAAGATATTGTTAATGGTATAACAGCATAATTATGGAAATATTTTGGCAAATACAGTAGAGCATTGATTATCCGACCCCCGATTAACCGTCACATCGGTTAACCAACCGTTCTAGTCGGTAGATTTCAAATGTCTGCTAGTGATGTGGCGCTACAATATTTGGCTATGTCTTGGCTACTTTGATATTATTTTTGTTAAATTCTTGTGTATTTTAACTGGCAACACTGGCTTGACCATGAAAGGTAGGCCATTATTTAAACGATACCTAATTTTCTAATTATGAGTGGTTGTTTGTTCTGTGAGCAGTAAAATAATTTTTAACGATAGAATAGTGACGATTATTATTTAAAAAAAAAAATTTGTTAGGCTTAACATCGATGAAAATTCAATGCGAAGTAGGTTAATAGCGATATACTAATATACTTTACTAATAATGTATTTTTTTCATTCTTTTCGGTTATCTGATTTTTTCAGTTATCCGACCAACCCGAGTCCCCAATGAGTCAGATAATCGATGCTCTACTGTATAAGAAATATACAGTTTTATAAAATACAGTAAACCTTGCTAACTTGGACTAATGGGTGTAGGCTGTTGAAGTTTACAAAAGTCCAAGCTAGTGGGGTATTTTCTCAATGATTTGAAAATGACACCATGTTACAGTTTGTTACAATCAGTTCTATACAGAAGTTTTAATGAACTGAGATTATACTGCTGAATTTTTCTTTACAAGAAATGAACAGAAAAAAATTTCATAACAGTACAATATATAGCAATGTACAGTCTTTATTAACTGACTACAGCAAAATGCTATCACAAAGATTTCTGGATATTGAAAACACTTGTTAATTATAATTTTTCTATTGTCAAGAAATTTTAAATTACTGCTTTGAAAAAAATTTTTTGAGTTAGTGGGATCCAAGTTAGCAAGGTTTTATTGTATATAATTTTTATTCATCTGATACAATTATTAAATATGATAACTAAAAACAAATTACAAATAATTGAAAAAGTAACTTGCAAATAAAAGTATTGTCTTGCTTGTTACATATTACCTGAAAACACATTTAGAGGAGTATAGTAATTGGTAATCTGCTATTTGATTGCATAGTCATCACACATCCTGATTCCTCCTTTAGGAGATAGAATTTGGCTTGAGGAGGAAGGTCAAGAAGCATATATCTTTCTGACTATGCTATTTGAATAGCCTGCTACTGATTACTACACTTTTATTTAGCTAATATGTAGCAGAAGCAAGATATAGCATGATTAAATGTTTTTGTCTACATGCTATTCTGTTATGAATCTACACCCAGTATATATTTAGTTAAATATATCAATAACTTACATATTAACAAACTAAAATAAAACATTAGCTGTTATACTTTGATCAGATATTGCTAAAGAATACAGCATACTATTTAAATTGATAGTAGGAAAATTTATTAGATGAATGGCAAGTATCTCACTGGAAAAGAAAATTATTGCTAATTTATCTTTGTTAACATATCTGTCAAATTCAGTTTAGGTGTAAAGTTTTTGTTTGATGTTAGCTTGGCCAGCTTTGTTAGAGAACTTTTTCTAAATACAAATCATGTTTTTGCTCAAGAAAATAGGTTCATAGGATGTAACTAGCAGTTTTTATATATATGTTAGCAGATAATCTTGTGGTCAGCAGTATTTTGAAGACCTTATGACATGCTTAAAATCTCTATGACCAATGTTCTATGTGAAGATGAATAAGAACTTATGGCTATTCTTAAAGATTTGTGATAAGATGAAACAGTTTATAAGTTAAAGAACTTTGTAAAAAAGGCTCACAAACCTTATTGTGCTTTGTATGTAATTGTGAAAACTATTATGTTACTAACGTTACACCTAGGTCCTAGGACTTTCCTCAGGTAGAATTCTCTAAAAATGTAATGTAATGATTTTTGCAATTACATGCAAAGCACAATAAGGTTTGTGAGCTCTGTTGACGTTGATTAATGCTTTGTTGCTGGAAGGTTACTTTAAAGAACTTTGGAAAGAAAACTTAATTTGATATATCTAATAGTTTGTTTCTGTAAAAGAATAGAAATATAAGAACAATGTTTATACAAGGTATGACTTTAACATATATCCTAAGTGATGATGAAAAAACTTTAAAAGACAAAACTTTTATATTTCAAATTTATTTGCTCAGTATTTTACAATCAATTTAATGTTGAGTTTCATGCATATTAAATATTATATCAGCATTTAGGCTTTTGTGTGATTGTGAACTTCAGGTTTCGCAAATGTTTTGAAATAAAATATTTCATAGTTGGATCATTTTTAAATATCTGGACCTATTATATACCCTTTCTTAATGTTTTTTAAAAATAAATTTGGTTATTCTTATCTCTCAGTTTGTTAAAATTGTAATATCTACTCTATTTCAGTTTTTTGGTGACAGATGGAAATCCTGTTATAAATTTTTGAAGCATTATTTATTTAAATTCTCATGTTCAAAGTTCTGTTTATAATTAATTCCATTTATAGATAATATTTGCTTATATTTCATTGATGTTTATGTAGTATTAATAAAAGATAATGAAATATGTATGACAAAAGATTAATGCAATAATGGATTCTATACTAGCTATAATATTTTCAGTGAAATAAAGTTACTTCTGTTGTTATTAATATACTTTAGTTGTAAATAAAAATTTTTTTACTGTTAAGTTTCTTTTGCATGTAAATAACTTGATAAAATTTATTAGAATAAATGTAAAATGTGAAAAAATTATATTAAAAATTTTTAATTTACATAAGAATTTTAATATAAATGACATAAAAAAAATTACAATATAGTTTTAAAGGTGTGTAATAAAGTTAAAAATTAAGCAGTTAAACAAAAAATAAAACTGCTTCTTTATTAGTTTGGCTACTGGGCTTAAGGGGTAATTAAAGAAGCATATTTATTTTATTTTGTTGAAATGATGGTGTTAAGATATATGAAATTTGAAGGTAAGCAATTGAAATTTTCATTTTTTTTTTTACAATATTATTATTAATTTTGATAATAAGGAGACTTGATTGTAAAGTTTCTTGAAATTAAGTTTGTTGTTGCTGTGCTATACATCATTTAAAATACTACTGATATTATTGCATAGTTTTTTCAATAAACTTTCTAATGATTCTCTTATAAATACCAGCACTTTTGCAATATAGTTAAAATTTGAATATTTTTATTCTTATCACTGATCCTATGTCTGTTGTTAGTTTTTATGATAATTCTGTTTTCAAAATATTTTTATGTTTATTAACCTGCTCCAAATTGTTCTAGAAGTTTAATAACAAAAAGTATCACCTAGCTCTGCATTTATTAAAGGAATTTTTATACCCATTCTAATTATCTTTTAAGAATAATTCAATGATGACAAGAAATTTTATAAACTTTCTTGAAAATAAAGTTATGACTGTCTAATTCAACAAAATACACAAGATTCAAATGAACATATCATCATATTTTAAAGTAAATATAATAATATAATAAGTGCTTAACACTTAGTCATTTTCTCTTAATCTATTTAGTTATGTACTGTAAATATATATCTAACTTATTTATTTGATAATTATTTAGTCTATGAATCTGTAAAAAAAGTTGCATATTATTTATCATCATCAAATAATATAAGATGATATTTTATATATATTATTTTTCAATGCAATTTATAATTTGCACATTAAACAATATATTAATATTCACCAAACTTACATTTACTATGATTATTACTATTGGTTATTTAAATAATTTTATATAGAATTGCATAGCTTATACATAAAATTTTATAAAATTTTTATTCTGCCAATATATTCAGTCTTTATATAGATGTTGAGTAAATTGTATGACATTTACTTAGTACTTGTCTGGTGATGTGTAACTTCAATCTTGCTTATTTCTATTTGTTTGGAAGTTGTAACTGTACATAGTAGTGACTTTTATGATATTTGCAATTATTTTTTTTAATCAGAAAATGATTATAAAAAGAATATTTCAAATTTCTTTTTATATCATTTATAGCATCAATTTCATCTTTCCAGCTTTACATATTTAAAATTTTTATGCTTTCATATGAAACAAATAGTTACCCATATAATTATTTACATTTAGTGAATACTCTTTTTATAATTAAAATAATCTTATTTTTAACATACATTTAAATATTCAAATTACTTATTTTATATCAGATTATGTGATTTAAAACTGAATTTTTTATTGAATTAGTGTTTGTGTATTGAAATATACAAGTTAATAATTGTTACACAGTTCATTTACGTATATTATACTAGATTACGACAAGTTTTATATGATTACAAAAATAATAAAATTTAACAATCTAAAGATATTCTAGATATTTTTATAAGTTTGAATTTGAATATACATTGAATCTCAGAAATTTTAAATTTAATTTTAAGTGAATTTAACATATTTTTCTATTATAATATAAAAATTAAAAATATATATGAATTTATTTTTAAATTTATAGTATTAATAGAGATTTTCTTTTACTATAATTAGGGAAGCAGAAAGTTTGAAATCAGCATTATCAGGTAAAATGTTCTTATAACATATTCAAAGATTATTTATAGTAAATTTACCTCTTTCTTAATAGCTGTATAATAATAATTCTTCTGTTTACTTTTACTACTAAGTTTTAATTAGTTTAATTAATATATCAATATAATATAACATAATATATATCCTAAAAATCTGCACAAATTTCAAAGGTTTTAGAATTCATTATTTATTTTAAAATAAGGTTTATTGGGTACAGATAGGTTGTTTAATGATCAGATGAGATGATTGAAACAATGATCAGCTGCAATTTTAACTCTAGTTTTAACCTGTTCTATTAACCTTCGGAAGTGACAAAGTTTGACATTGATCCCATTCTCCAATTCCTTTGCAGATCCAGCTTCCCATCCATTTTCTTAAATTTTTTGTTTCAGTTGGTTAACCACATCAAGATTGTTTGACATCTCCAAGATTCAGTCATGCAACTTCAGCAGAAGGGTTTGTTTTTTAGTAGCAAATTCTTCATTGTGTATTTTGAAGCAGCTTTTTGCTTCTTGAGAGTCACTTGACCCTCCTTCAGGATCCAGCAAATATGTCTATGTAAAATTTTGAACTTTCTTCCCTATTTTCTAAGTATTTGTACAACTTTCCCGAAAATTTTTTCTTTAGTTGGTTCATCTTCCTTTCAGTCATTTATCTTCTCTTTCAATCACATCCCATTCTTTCTGTAGATTTTCCTTGTTCTACCTTGAAATGGTACTATACAGTGTATGGCATGAACTTATACAGTTAATGGGAAAATTTATATAGTTAAACATTCTTTACAATGCATTGTAGAGAAATGTTTAACTGTATAAGTTTTCCCATTTTTGCAATATTCAATATAAAATCTGCCATTACATTTCTTCAATTGAATTCATTTGTTACATTATTTATGTAAACTTTTTTGATAAATGGAATGAAGAAATTCTATAAAGAATTATATGCTGTTTCATGTACATGTACAATTATTTGAAATTACTGGAAAATACTATTGAAAGTTCTGCAGATGTTTTAAGGATACAAAATTATAATATTGTTAAATTAATTCATTTTAAAATTATGCAAATTTTGTGTAATGTCTTTCTGAAAAATTAAAGTATAAATTATTCATAAATTTTAGAGAACAATAATAATTAAGTCAGATTAGATAAAAATCGATTACAGTTTTTTATATAGTAAATAAAACAATAAGTTCATGTGCATTTAAATATGCCTATAAATTCTAGTATAGGGTGTTTTTTAGAGGTATACAAATTTAAAATGAAATAAAACACATAAAAATAATGTTAATGGCCACAGTATTGGCTTTATTTAAAAGATAATTTTATGCCATTAGTGTTTAAACATGATTTCGGGCATATGGGTGCAATGGCTGGCTCGAATAAAGCGCAATTGGGACGAACAATTTTCAACCACTTTAACAAGCAACTGGGGCCGTATATCGGCAATAACATGGCGAATGTTGAGTAACTTACATTCATTAAAAGTCACTGTTTGGTGTGCTTTATGGGCAGGTAGAATCATAGGCCCATATTTCTTTAAAGATGATGCCGGCCAGAATGTTACCATCAATGGAGAGCACTTTTAGAGCCATGATTGCTGACTTCTTCATTTTTCAGTTGAATGGTATTGATGTGGCAGAGCTTTGGTTTCAACAAGATGGCACAACATGCTAAATAGCATGCGACACCAACAATTTATTGCAGAAACATCCGATGAGCGCATAATTTTGCATAATGGACCTGTGAACTGGTCTCCACGATCATGTGATCTCACACCTATGGATTACTTTCTTTGAGGATATGTGAAGTCACTAGTCTACGTCGATAAAACACAGATGTTGGACCACTTGGAAGTCAACATTCGCTGCGTTATTGTCGATATACGGGCCCAGTTGCTCAATAAAGTGGTCGAAAACTGTTCTTCCTGATTGCGCTTCATTCGAGCCAGCCNTACATACATACATACATACATACATACATACATACATACATACATACATACATACTAAGGTATACACTGCATAAATTTAGGAAAAAATAAGTGAATGTTAACAGAAAAAATAAGATGAATGCAAGTAACAATAAATGTGAATACAAAAAAAAAAGGTTTGAATACAAATGTTGAGGTCAATATAGAATTAAATGCCAGCTTGACAGTGTCAAGTTATACCTTCAATAAGAAATTGCAAAAACTGAGAAGACAGCAATTACCATTCACACAAAAGAGTGGTTTGGAGGACTCCCAAGGGTTTGCAGAGGAGTATGACAGCTGAAACATGTTTCTCTAGAGATTTCCGTAGACATTCTATGGGATTGAGATCTGGAAAATATGCAGGCCAATCTATTCATTTTGTTCCCTCTTTCCTCTTCGTAAAGGTATTGGTCAACCAGTTTTGCTTGATGCAGATGAGCATTATCATCCATTAAAATGAAATTATCTCTGAGTGCACAACATAAGGTTTGACATGGTCCAGTATACCTGTGAGAAGTAATGGTACCTCAATCAAACACATGGAGGTTGGTACCTCCATCTAATGAAAACCCAGCCCAGATAGTCCCCCTATTACCATTAAAAGCATGTCTTTTCATTATGTTCTGTGATTTGTAACAGGTTCCATCTTCATTCCAGATCAATATATGCCTACTGTCAGATTCCAGGGAGAAACTAGACTCATCTGTGAACAGGATATGAGCTCATTGTTCTAGAGCAGCATTTCTCAAAGTGGGCAATAACTCCCCATTGTGGGCGATGAGTAGATCTAGGGGGACACTGGAGGCAGGGTATTGAATGGTGACCAAAGGCAAAATTGGGGTCACTGGAAGGAAAAATTGCATTTAATGGTTTCCAGATGTTGAGAACAATGTGTACAGTAAGGGCATAAAGTGTGAGATTCATAGAAAAGTTTTCCTAAGAATATTTCCAATCCTTTCTCACACAAGAGAAAATGGATTAGGGGGCATTGGGTATAACTTTATGGAACAAAGGGGGTGGTGGATTGAAAAAGTTTGGGAATCACTGTTCTAGAGTCTAGCCTATACATGCTTCTGATACCAGTTCAGGGGGCCTGTCTATGTCTAGAGGTTAAAGACACACATACTACCATATGACGGACATAGTCGCCTTGTAAAACCTTGTAGTAACAGTTGGGACAGATAACTGTCTTCCTGTGGATAAAATGAGGCTAGTATGTTGAGATGTTGCAGATGATCTTCTGTTTCTTTTGGCTAGGAGCTGTATATAACGATCATCCCGAAATGTTGTCATCTGTGAATGAGACAAGTCTCCTGACAATAGTTCCTGTTGTTTGGAATTGTCTCCAAAGCCTTGAGATAACAGAATGACGGACAATAAATCTCTCCATTTCTGTAATTGATTGACCAGCTTCCAATCTTCCAACAGCTCTCCATCTTTCTGAATCCTGTAAACATCTTTGGGACATGATTATGTACTGTTTGCATCATAACAATTCTGTTTTCTGTTCTTTATTGTCTATAGTATCCTTTCAGCAAAAATAGTGCTCTCTGGGAAGATGCTGGTATTTTCCCAATGTTCTTCATTTGCATATTTATATACATTTTGCATAATTTTAAGTTCTCATACTAAATTATACCTATACACTAATTTTCATTAAGCTTTTATGCTATTTAGATTTTTGTGATCCATGCTTAATTTTTGATGAACAACGTATTATAAGATAATTTATTTTAAAATTTTAACATTTAGAAAGAATGTTACATTTTTCTTGTTAGCATGTGAAACATAATTATTGATAAGTAATAAATAAAAATTTGTTATCTTTAATTCCTTATAACTGTGAGGAATTATCTAATGAGGAATGCATCTAATTAGAAGCATATAAAATTAGGAAAAATATTTAATATTTATAATCTGTGGAGATAAAATTTATAAAAATTTTAATTTATTTTTATTTTATTATTTTTTGAAGTTTTTGAATTTATTACATTCAAATTCATTTATGTTATCTATTATTTAATGCACATTTGTTTGTAATGAATATAAATGAGCTACTTTTAAATCTAGTTTTTATATTTTATTATTAAACATTGCAAAAACAAAAAATACACAAATTATTTAAGTTTAAAAGGCATTTCATTGTTTATGACGATAAAGTCAATTGAAAAGAATATATAAAGACAAAAGGTATAGAACTGTTTTCATATAAAAATAAATGATAAACATTCTTTAAGTAATAGCTAAAAAATGTTATGATATGTCTACATAAATAAGAGCATACTCTTATGAGCATGCTGTTGGGCAAAATTGGCACTATAGTTTTCTCCAAAAAGACCTAGTACCTAATGAACCATAAAATACCATAATAGTATCTAAAAATCTCAATTTTTAAAAAAGCTTTTATACGAGGTCTGTTCAAAAAGTATCGGACTTTTATTTTTTCTGCGTAAACCAATGATGCGTGGGAGGCCTCTTTCGGTGGAGTTGTGGAGGAAAAAGTCATGCATAACCCTGAATTTTTTCCTGCCTGCAGGAAGCGCCAGTCGTTGGCAGTCGGCCTATGAGTGAGGACAGATAGTGAGCTCTTGTCAGATTTCACTAAGTTGGAAAATGACTGAACAACATGAGCAGCGATATTACATCAAATTTTGCCAAAAGTCTTGGTGATACCCAAGTGTAAACCATTCGCAAAATTCAGCAGGCTTTCGGGGATGATCCTCGAGGCCAAAAAAAGCGCAGCAGGTCCGCAGCGATATCAAGGTCATGCTGACAGTTTTTTCGACTCTCGTGGGGTGGTGTATCGTGAGTACGCACCACAAGGCCAAACCATCGCAAAGGGGTACTACCAAGAGGTCCTTCGTTGTCTTTCCGATGCTGTGCGACTCGAATGACCGGATCTGTGGTCGATCAAAACTTGGTAGCTCCATCGTGATAACGCATCCGCCCATTCTGTGCATCTGATTCGGGCTTTCGTCGCCAAACACAACACTCCTGTGGTTCGTCACGCTCCGTACTC